TTTTTTTTTTTTTTTGTCTTTTTTTTCGTGACCGGTAAGGGGATCGCAACCCCTGGTGTGGTGTCGCCTACACCACGCTCAGCCAGTGAGCGCACCGGCCAGTCCCATATAGGATCCGAACCTGCAGCGGGAGCATCACTGCACTCCCAGCACCGCACTCTCCCAAGTGCACCACGGGCTCGGCCCTTCATTTCCAATTTGAATGTCCTTTATTGCTTTCTCTTGCCTTATTGTGCTGGCTAGAACTTCCAGTACTCTGTTGAATAAGAGTGGGAATAGTGGTCTTGTTCCAGTTATTAAAGGAAAAGCCTCTTATTTTTGTCCTATCAGTATGATATTAGCTGTGGGTTTGTCATATATGGCCTTGATTGTGTTGAGATATGTTCCTTCTATACCTAATTTGTTGAGTGTTTTTATCATGAAGAAGTATTGGATTTTTATATCATCAACAGAATTAAGAAAAAAAAATCATTTCAACAGACACAGAAAAAGCATTTGATAAAATCCAACACCCCTTCCTCCTGATAACACTTCTCTCTTATAAACATTATACAGTCAAGTTTTGTTGTTTTATTCAGTCTGGAAATCTTTGTTTTAAATTGCAGTGTTTAGAACATTTAAATTCAATATGGTTACTGATATAGTTGCATTTATGTCTAACACCTGGTTATTTGCTTTCTATTTGTTCCATGTGTTTGTTCCTTTATTTCTCATTTCTCACATTTTTGATGAATAAAGGATTTTTATAATTACCTTTTTCTCCCCAATAGCTTTTTAGTTCTCCTTAATTTTCTTATTCTTTTAATGATTACCCTAGAGATGACAATATACATCCTTGATTTATTGTGATATAACTTAAATTGTACTTTACAACTTCCTGATCAATGCAAGAACCCAAAAAGTTTAATTCCACTTGCACCCTCCCACCCTTTTCCTATTGTTGTCTTACATTTACATGTATTTTATATCTCACAAGACATTACTTTTACCTTTATAAAAACAGTATTTATCTATATTTACCCTGTAGTGAATTCTTATAATTTTATGTTGCTCTGCCATTCACTTTTTATTATTTAATAATGTAAAAATGTATTATGATGAACTTTTGAAAACAAAAATGTTCTTAACTATCTGATTTAGAGAATTCAAAACCATCAGAAGAGAAGAGATGCCTAAGAGAAAGGAAAAAAAAACTTAGATCTTAATGAGAAATGAATTTTAAGTTTGATTTCAATCTCCCATAACAAAGTCTGTGAAAGAAAATGAATGATAGTTACATATTTAATGAGTTATGCAATACATATAAAGATTTTTGTACCCTAAAAGAATTACGGAAAATTAATGTTTGGTAAAATATTTGCATCAATGGTGCTTTGCAGACTGCTTAATAGTCTTTTTTTTTTTTTTTTGATTCTCTAAAAAGATCAATAAAATTTGCAAACCTTTATCAAGACTGACCAAGAAAAAAAAAGAGAAGACCGAAATTACTGAAATCAGAAATAAAAGGCACAGTAGAGCAGTTGCTTCTTCTACCATGCTGGAGTGGCCTTTGAGGAGAGAGACGTCCTCTTCTTTTTGCAGTCTCCACTGGTGACTCTCCTTATGTCACTGCAGCTGGGTGTCTGGTGGGCTGCCTGCACAGTAGCTTTGGCTACTGCTGTGGCATCGAGCTGCCCCTGTGGCAGCCGTGGTTGCATCAGTGGCTGTGGTGGGCCTCCCGCGAGGAAGTGGTGTTTCCAACATGCTCCTTGCCTGTTTCTTGGCAAGGGATGCTGCCCTTGGCTCTTGCCTAAGGACCCTGGGCATGCTGTGTTTCTTGCCTGCTTCTGGCAGAAGAGGATGGCCCTCTGCTCCTGCCTTAGGACCCCAGTCATGCTATCTGTCATTCATTTTGAATATGTTAAACTTTCTCATAACAGAAGCAGGGCTCTGTCACCCTTGAGACAGTTTTTAAATTCCTCAGTGGGGTAGATCAAGATATATGCGTTATACAACTGTTTCTTGGTGACCACTTCCATATGGGACATGTAGATACAAGCTACTTGACTGGCCCCTCTGATCACTGTGCACAGCATGGACTTTGCAGACATGCTGGAGTGATCACCGGGAACTTGTGCCTGCTTTCTTTAGGCCCACCAGTTAGAACTCCACATGAGAAACTTTCTTGGGTTATACCCTAGACTCCAATAAAAGCTTTGTTCCATGGGTCCCTCCCTCTCTCTCTCTTTCTTCTTGCTGACCAAGCTTTTTGTGGTCTTTGGGTATGCTGTGTGCCCCCAGTGCCTGTAAGTAATAAAATCTTTATTTCCATCTTGTGTTTCTCCTAATCATTGAAGAAGTGCTCTCCGTCTTAAAGATCCTAAATTAAAATATACCCACATATGAACTCTTTCTGGTGCTGGTCCTCCTTATTCCAGTTCTATTGATTCTATATGAAACAATTTTCTTCCTGCCTGAAGAACTCTCTTTAGCATTTTTGCATTGTAGGTCTTCTGGCAATAAATTATTTAAACATCTTTCTTTTTTTTTTTTTTTTTTTTTTTTTTTTTTTTTTTTCGGGACCGGCAACGGATCGCAACCCTCAGTGTCGCGCCCGTACTGGACCGGGACCGGCAACAGGATCGCAACCCTGGGTGTTGCTCCCGCACCTCGCCCAGCCAGTGAGTGGCCGGTCTGTATGTGGGATCCGAACCCTCAGCGGGAGCGCCGCTGCACTCCCAAGCAGCACACTGTAGCAGTGCGCCACAGGGCTGGCCTAAACATCTTTCTAATTGTGGTTCTTTTGAAGATTATTTGTCTATGTTTCTTGGCTGCTTTGAAAGTTAATTGGACTTGATTTTGTACAATATTGCTATGACAAGTATAGGTAGGAATTTCTTTGTGTTTGTATTGCTTGGGTTTATACAGCTTCTTGAATCTGAATTAATGAAGTCTTTCACCAGTGTTGGAAATTTCTTAGTCATTACTTCTTCATATGTTGTTTATGCTCTGTTATCTCTATCCTCACATTGTAGGACTCCACTTAAACATGTCCTAGGCTTTATCCCTCTATCCTATAATTCTCTTATTTTTGTCTGTATTTTTGATCTTCTTTATACTTTGTTTTGGATATTTTCCTTACGCTTTGTTCTTTATGTCTCTTTATGTTTCATTCTGGGTATTTTCTTCTGTCCTAGCTTCCAGTTCACTGATTTTTCTTCAACTGTGTCTAACCTGCCATTAATCCTATCCAAATTCTTAAGTTTAGTATTTGTATTTTCCAATTCTAGAATTATTTGGTTCCTTTCCAAATTTGCTGTTATTTTTAATAGTCTGTAGTTCCTACCAAAAGTTTCAGTTTTGTGTATTATATCTTTGAATGAGTAAACATAGTTATTTTAAAGCTATTGGTGAAAGTTTCCATATCCTTGTTCTAATGGGTCAGTTTCTATTATCAGCAATTATGCTGATCCTTTTTCTTGTTATTTTATCTTTTCAAGTAACTGGTTATCTTTGATTGTGTAGCAGAAATTATATTTGAAATCATGTCTATAGAAGTAATTTCAAGGTCTTGGATGACCTAACTTCCTCCAGGGATGATTTTTTTCTGTAGCTTCTGCCAGGCACATGGGGACACTAGCAATATGGGACCACTTTAATTCAATCTCAGAACCTATGATTTTTCTTAGCCACTTACAGTATTTTATGAGCAGTTCCAGTCTTTGAGATACCAGGTTTACTTTCAATTGACTCTGATTCCCTACACCTAGTTCTTTGTGGTATCAGTACACATCAGAGGTAATACCAGAGCTCCCATTTTGGGCAGTCCCTAGACTCCAATTTTGTCCCTTAACTTCATGAGACTCCCAGTTACCCCCTCCTGATCCAGCCCCCTATTTCCAAGGTGAAAGCAGCCCAAATGTCCAGTCTTACTTGGGTTTTCATCTTTTCCAAGATCTTGGCCCAGAAATGCTTCACTAATTTGTTAGCTCTCTGATGCCTTCAAAGATTTTTTGTTTGTTTGTTTGTTTTTAATTTACAGTATTTATAGCCTTTCTTGGGGGGAAGAGAGAGATTGAGCAATGTTTGATTTGAATTATCGAGATTACCACTATGAGAGGCAGAAGCCCCTTAAGAATTTTAATTTTTAATTTCCAGTGTTTTGGGGGTTTGATTGAAGTTATTTAGTTCTAATTTATAGCAATACAATATACCATGTACTACTTCTTCATTTTCAGATGTACTTAGGGGCTTTTGTGGACGAATATATGATCACTTTAACATAGATATCCTGCTATAATATCAAAGTTAGGTTTGAAAAAATGAGTTGGTAAGGTTTCTGTCTTTTACTTATCGTGAAAATTTTAAGTTACATTTGGAAGTATATGTTACTTGAAAGTTTGATAGAACTTATCTGTGAATATTTTTTTCAATTCTTACAAGTTTCTCGGTCACATCTAACTTTCTACATCTTCTTGAATGAATATTGGTAATTTATATTTCCATTTATATCATGTAGATTTTTTAAATGTTTAACATAAAGTAGTTTATAGTTTCATAAATATTCTCATATATATGCAAAAATACTTAAATTCTAGTTTCTACTGCTGTTTGTGTTTTTTCTTTTCCCTTATACTTTTTCATTTAACCAAAGTTTTTACATTTTTTTTTTAAAGCTATACTCAGTTAACAAAAAAAATGGAAATTAAGAAAGCAAGTGGAAGAGAGTAGGGGAAAACTGTGTAAACTATATAATAATATGATCCAAGAGCTATTTAAGATGAAAAAAAATGGGGATTGTATTAATAAATGCATGTGTTTACAGGAAATATAAGTAGGAAAGGCAGAACACATGCTATTATGCTCACCTAAGTTACAAATTTGTAAAAATGTATCTACATGTTAGCAAAGATCAAAAGCAAATATTAAATGTGAAAGTAGCTACAGTTTAGTGACTCATTAGATTTTTCTCACTTGTTATTTAAATTCACTGTTACTTAATCTCCTCATGCTTTTCCCAGATATTCTTTGTGGGCCACCCCCAGCCATCGCCAATGGAAATTTCTTTAGCACCGACAGAGAATATTTTCAGTATGGATTGGTGGTGACCTACCGCTGCAATCTTGGAGACAGAGGGAAAAGGGTGTTTGACCTCGTGGGCGAGCCCTCGATATACTGCACCAGCCATGACGATCAAGTGGGCGTCTGGAGTGGCCCTCCCCCTCAGTGCATTATACCTAATAAGTGCACGCCTCCAGAGGTGGAAAACGCAGTAATGGTATCTGGCAACAGAAGATTATTTTCCTTAAATGAAATTGTGGAGTTGAGGTGTCAGCCTGGCTTTGTCATGAAAGGACCCCCCAGTGTGCAGTGCCAGGC